CTGGGTATAAGCTACACTTACCAGCTGGGTGACCAGGTCACCCATCCGGCCCTGTGACCCACCCGTAAACTCTGCAGTGGGCAGGACAGGGCGGGGGCTGACAGATGACGTGCAGCCCCAGCCCTAGCCGCGGCCCCAGCGAGGAAACCACTACTGTCGTGGGGAGAGGGCCTGGCTGTCAACAGCCACATCCTGTGCTGTTGCTGGGTTCCGCTGCAGCGAGGGTGCCTGTCCTGAGACAGCACTGAAGGCCGCTTCACCATCCAAGAACGTCACACATCTTAAAGGGCAGAAGTAACCTCTGCCCCTAAGACGCCCAGAGCCTGTGCTGCCTCCCAGAGCCTCATCACGGTGGGAGGGGGAGGGGTGTCCCACAGAAAGGGACCGGGCCTGACCTACAGATGCCCCCACGGTGGGCGTCAAACTGAAGACTTAAGAGAAACGTACAAGAGAACTTGGAGCGCAGGCCCGGTGAGAACGCCGTTGCCCCGTAACCATGCAGGCTGCAGGCTGTGGGTGGGAGGGGCCCCCGAGAGACTCAGAATGGGGGGCCTTAAATGCAGTCGTGGCCTCCCTCCCCAGACCTGTGGCCTTGCATTCTGCACTGCCCGCCAGCCGATACAGGGGTCTCGTGCCCATCAGAGGTAGGGAGCCCCTTCTCCCAGCCTAAGTGTGTTGTTTGAATGAGTCTTTTGTGTTTTCTTTTCTTTTTTTTTTGAATGGGTCTTCTTTTAAAAATGAAAATGAAAGGTCTGAGGAAATAACTCTGGTAAGGGAGGGTAAGGGGAGGAGGAGCCTTGCCCACGGCCCCCCTGCAGTGAGTACCTCACAGAACCTTCCCCTACCTGGGAGGCGGGGAGCTCAACCTCCAATGATCCCAGAGCCCCACTGGGCTCAAAGGCGAAGGGAGAGAAGCCGGGTGGGCCTGCTCTGCTAGGAACGTCCCCCCACAGCCCCCATCCAGGGGTCTGACCCTGCTGCAACACCTCTAAGCCTCAGGTCCTGGACCTGGTCCTCATCTTGCTCAGACTCAATTCCCCAACCTGCAGATCAGGATGAGATGGCCCCCAGGCTCACAGGAGGAGTGGGATCACCTGGTGGAGACCTTAAAGCCATGGTGGGAACTCAGGAACACCCCCTAAGAGGAGGCCCCCACCCCAAGTCCACAACACCCAGGACACCTCTACCTGCCACCCATTCCCCTGCCCCACCCAACCCCCCCCAACTCCAATATCTCCTGCACCCCTTCTCTGGGCCTGGAAGACCAGTGAACACTTCTCTGGGCTGGGCCCATTTTCCACATGAAGGCTCCATATATATTAACAGTGCCCCCACCAGACCTTTCTACAGGGCTGGTGACACGTGCCCCAGATGGGGCAGGAAGATGGACCGGTGCCAGGGGGCTACAAGGGCTTCAGTCTACCCACCTTCCAAGGATAGTCTGAGAAGTCACCAAGGCCTGGCAGGTGGGCCAGCTGGCTCCAGACACCACATTCCCCTACCACTGCAAATTGAGCCTCTGCTTGCACTCTTCAATGACCCCTCCGCAGCCTGGGGACCCCTGGACTCCTTAGCCAGCCCCCCAGTAGCCCCTCCCCACACTTGGTATCTAAGAAGCAAATCCCCTCTCCCCTGCTGAACACCCTCACAGACACCCAGCTGCCTCTGTACCCCTTCCTAGGCCTGGTGCCTGCGGCGGACCACCCCCCACCCCCAGCTGTCCTTTCCTTCCAGCCCCGTCCAGCCCTGGTGCCTGACCCCCTCCATGTGCAGCCCCATTCAGACACTGGATGCTGCGTGTCCCCCAGCCCTCCTTTGGCTGGACCCCTGCACCCCTCGACCTTTGGTGCATTTTTTTCTCAGTACCCTTGATGAGCCCACCTTTTTAACTATATACAAATAAATCTCAAAGGAGAGGAAAAACAACAGAAAAAACAAAGGAAATGGATATGATACAAACAGGATACAAACCAAAAACAGGCTCACTGGACAGTGGAGAGGCACACCTGCCCATCAGGTGTGCGCCCGACAGCCCCATCACCCCCTCACCCTGGGCAATGCTCCCTCCCACCCCCTAACACACAGAGGGGCGCTCGGCCTGACCTGGACAGCTTGTCCTCCCAGCCCATCCCGCCCCCAGCCTGCCAGGCCAGCGGGGGTGAGAAAAATCCTTGTTTGTTAATCTTTTATCTGGAACCTTGGACCATAGGCCCATTCCTCCCGTCCTCCTTCCCGGAGCCCACATGGCCCCCAAAACCCTGACCTCGCTCGCTGGGGTAAATAAGTTACCTTTTATGCTGGCCATGGCTCCAAGAAAAGGGCACCCCCACCCCCCAAATCTCGCAGGGGAGGACATTGAGGCTCCAGGGAGCCTCTTTCATCCAGCGGCTCTGCCTGTACCCCTGCGAGGAGTCCAGAGCTGGGCCTTAGGGGCACAGAGGCCACGTTTAGATTCCCACCCACGCCCTCTGGGCTTTGCTTGCTCCTCCATGAAATGGGCCCAGGCTGGCCGTGTGGCTGGGCTGCAGCAGTGAAGCTAAGGGGATGCCCACAGAGCACATCCTCACCCACCCAGCAGTCCTGCTGCCCCCTTTTCAGACCCCTCCTTCACAGTCCTTTCAGGGGTATGGAGGGGGGTCACCTCTGGCCACTGGAACGCTGAGTTCCTCCTCCTGCAGTACCATGCTGCTGGACAATCTCCCCGATCAGGGAGTGCTGGAGCTGCCTGGGAAAGGGGTCTGAGGGCAGTGGGAGGATGGCCTCCCAGTCAGCCATTCAATAAAGATTTAAGCTCTTGCTCTGAGCCAGCCTCCCTCAACCAGCCCTTCCCCGGCTGTGCACGGGAAATGAGGGGAGAATCCTAGGACCCTGTGTCCGTTTGGCTGGACTTTCATACCTCCTGTAGGAACAGCAGACTAAAGTACCCATTTTATAGATTGCAGGTGAAACATCCATCCCATTGCTGTGTTTTAGACAGTGCCAAACTGTCTCCAAAGACCCTCACACCCATCCCTTCACTTCACAGCCCCCGGGGCGGGGGGCATTTCACAGCCCAAGAGACTGGGGCCATGGGGCAGAGGAGTGGAGGAGTCCGAACAACAGCTTTACCCTGGAGCAGAACCACGGCCAGCGTGCATGCACTGAGCCCTCCCTGGCTCCCCCTAGCCTGTCCACAAGCCTGGGGCAGGTATTCAGTGCCCACCACTTAGCACAGGGGGAAACTGAGGCACAGAGATAGAGAGAAGTATCCCAGGTCAGAGGAGGAGGGCCTCCAACCCCAGATTCCTGGGAAGGGCTCACGGGCTGGGACCCCCTGGGCTCATGTCTGGGAGGAGGCCAAGCGGCAGCCAGTCAGAAGCAGGGCTGAGGCCAAGCTGGGCAGGCCAGGTGGTAGGAACTGGACTCCTGGACCTTCTTTCCCCCAGGAGAGTCTTCTGCAAACAGCCTTTTGTATGCAAACTGGACTCTAAGACCCTCTTTCCCCAGGAGAGTCTTCTGCAAACCGCCTTCTGTATGCAGCCCCTCCCCATTCTTGGCTGACCTTGGGCAAATCCCTCCACCTCTCAGTGGACACTCACCTCCCCAGGCAGTACTGCACAACCAGCACAAACAGTCCTCTTCACACACAGGGGCAAAACACGAATTCAGGACTGGGCATCAGGCTGGCCAAGGGAGTCAAAGAAAATAAATCCAGCCCACCAGGTCAGGGGCAGGTCTCAGGTCTCAGCTCCCACACCACCAAGCCACAGGCCTCTGCTCTGCGACTTACTTCCCTGGGCCTAGTTTCTCCAATGGAGAGGGAGCCAGCACTCTCCCAGTATGGCAAGTGTCACTGTTTTAAGCATGACTGGCTGCACCCCAGGTGGGGTGTGACTTGTGGCCAGCCTGCTTCCAGGCCCAGCTTCCACCTGTGCAATCCCGCACCTGGCCTGGGGCACAGGTGTGCAGAGACCCTCAGGCTTAAGGGGCAGGGAGCAGCGTGCAATGAAATGAGCCTCCAAGAACATCTGGAGCACAAGGTGTGGGTTTGGTTGTGTTTCTAAAAGGGTTAGATTTTAGACGCATTCATAGAGCAGAGCAGAGCTGACATTCGAACCCAGGGCTTCAAGGCGCGTTCCGTAGACCCGAGCTGGGCAGGAAGGTCAACCCCCTACAGAATAAGCTCGAAATAAACACTCAAGATACCAACCAACCCTCCCCTCCTTCCAGAGACCCTGGAGCCTCAACCCCAGGCCCGGCTGCCCTGGGACCTCAAGCAGTTGCTCTCCGCTCCCAGGAGCAGTTCCCCACCTGCGAAGTGGGGCTGGGGAGCTAACCAAGGAACCGGAGCACCTCCCCGCAATGTGAGACCAGTTTCGATTTCCCCACGTCTGCCGCACAGACTTCCCCGCACCGAGGCGGCCCCGATCAGGAAAGGGCG